TAGCCTGGGATTATTGTGAACCAGCTTGAAACCTTACACAGGGCTGCACAAGAGATGTTGCAGGAGATAACAATAAAAAAGAATGACTAATACCAGGGAAGTTACAGACATCTATGAAATTCAACGTTTTCTAATTAAAGGCTTGGAAGGGTGAGTGTCATATGGTCCTCTTCTGGGTCCATCGTTCAGGTTTGGGATCGGTGTCGCCGCTATGGGCACACTGTTCCTCCCTCCACCACAAAACAGAGACAATACTGACCTGTCTGGAGTTCTCTGCTAGCCCAGGAGTGCCACGAAGGAAGGAGGCTGTGCCTGTTCATTTATCAAGCATATATGAGCGTACCTTTTTTTTTGGTGGCCCGTTAAAAAACCACCTGGGTGCCAGATATGGTTGACTGGAGGGGAAATGAAACAATGGGTCTAATGGTCTATCAACTGCCCATCATGTATGTGATGTGAATCGTTGCACAATTAGTCAAAATCTAGTTTATCAAAGTTCATAGCCTTTGAGCCAACGAAATGCGATAGGGTCCAGAATAATGGTTCATGTCCAGTTGGGTAGAATATTGTGTAATGCCTGGCTCTGCTCTCATTTAGATATGAGATTGCTTTGTCACGTAGAAGAATGGATATCTGCAGTATTATTATGGCTTTAAATTAAAATGTCCATGTAGGGTTAATAGTTCATTCTTTGGTGGGTGTCAGGGCAGTGTGAGCCAGGGAGCTCTGCCTAACGTGAGGGGATTCAATCCTTGATGGGGAGAGAATATGTGTTCAACTGACTAGATAATTAGGTATACACTGAAGTAAGCAATGGTTGTGGGTTGAATGGTGCCCCTCCCCAAATTCACACATTGAACCCCTAACTCCCGAATACATCAGAGTGTGATCTTATTTAGAAATAGGGTCATTGCAGATGTAATTAGTTATGATGAGGTCATACTGGGGGACAGTGAGCCCGTTCTGCAGTATGACTAGTGTGTTTATAAAAAGGGGAAATCTGAACACAAAGACAAGCACATCCCTTCCCTCGCAGCCCTCGGGAGGAATCAACTCTGCTCACACCTTGGTTCTGGGCTTCTTGCCTCCAGAACTGTGAGACAATAAACTTCTGTTGTTTAGGTCACTCTGCTTGTGGCCCCTTGTTACGGTAGCCCTAGCAAATTAATACAGTGATGAACACTAGATTCTTCATTACTGACCAGGCCTTCTTGTCCTGGGCACTATTGACATTCGGGGCCAGACAACTCTATGCGGTGGGAGTCCATCCTGCACATTTGTAAGACGTAGTAGCATCCCTGGCCTCTATCCATGCCACGGATATGCCATGTTAACACACACACACGCGCGCGCACACACACACACACACACACACACACTTGCAATGGAACCTGCATTATGCCTGTGATTCTTTTCTTCTTTTTTTTATAAATGGTAGCTCTTAATGTTTATTTTATTTTTGAGAGAGAGAGACACACACACAGAGCATCAACAAGAGAGGGGCAGAGAGAGAGGGAGACACAGAATCCAAAGAAGGCTGTCAGCACAGAGCCCAACGCAGGGCTCGAACTCACAGACCGTGAGATCATGACCTGAGCTGCAGTTGGACAGTCAACCAGCAGAGCCACCCAGGCACCCTGCCTGCGACTATTTTCAAAGAAGGGACAAGTGATAAAAATTCTAAGAGAAAATAGTCTAGCTATGCATCCACTTACACCGTTCCCAGTTGCAAATAAAGTAAAGGACTTTTAAAATTATAGAAGCTTACACTCTATAAATGAAACCCAACAGTGGAAATCCCTTGTCTTGACCCCCAGATGAGAAGGCGTACACAGGAAGGCTGAGCTTTAATTGGAACCTTTATCAAGCTGTGACCAAATTCCACTGGGATGAGCCATTGAAACGGACATTATACAAATAAACTCCCTCAGCCAGCCTTTAGAGTCAGAAATGCAAAACAATGGTTTGGACCTTCAGCATCAGCTAACTTGAAGTGGGTCCATGCTGAAGTTGAAGGGCAAAGCAAGGTCAATTTCTCTCCATTTGTATATTTTTATAGGTATAACTAGAGAAAAGAAACAAGAGCTCCCACACTGTATGTTGGAACAGAAAAAAGTGAAATTAATGCTATTGTAATTCCTTGGTAACTCTGCAATCCATTCTATTAAATTCTCTTATCTGTTATGTGGCTCACAAATCAAACTTTTAATCCGGATCTGGGGCACTGAGAGGCTTCTTCAAATTCAATTAAAACGACGCAAGAAAGTCCACATTAGGACACGCTCCATTTAGAGACGTGCATTTGGCAGGAAGACTTTTCTCTTTATCTTAAAAATAGAGTTCAGGAAATGCTGGTTTAATTTTCTCTTTGCTTCAATATTTGATGAGTGCTTCCCAACGCACAGTCTCCAAAAGCACTAGATTACTGGCATGATGCTATTTTAAGAGACGTGGAAGATTTTATTTGTGTGAATTCTACGTGTTGGGATTTCTATGCTTTTTTTCCCTTCTGAGCCTACAAAGAGATGTACAAAAGTGTACTCCAATTCTTTATATAAACATTTGTATACCGAGACCTACTATGAGTAAAAATGCCCCTTGAGGTTTAAGAAATAATTGTTCTTTGTCATCATTGCAGAATTCCCGTCTTCAAATGACGGACTTTAACAGGACACACACGTTTTTCAATAGGAGACCCTTGCATCCCTACACATCCAAGTAAGTAAAGCACATCTATCGTCTTTTCAATGAAAGCATCCCCCCATTTCTCCATGCTTTCTGTTTCCACATCATCACTTGTTTGGACCAAAGTAATAATTGGCCAAAACTCCCTTTCTAAGTTTTGGTCCTTTCAATATGCCATTAGTTTCTTCAAAAATTAACATCCATGCCAGGCTTGGGTTTTAAGCAAAAACAAAGAAGTACGCACATTCATAATCATGTGATAACTGAAATTTCACAGACACTCCACATGTCAGGGTATTCTTACGACTTTTTTATTCTAATGGTGTGTTTCGGAGCAACCCTGCTACGTTGGCATGTTATCGGTTTAAATGCTCACAAGCACATTTTGTGAAAAGGCTGTAAATAAATGCTCATAAGCATATTTTGTTCAGTGACTGTAAATGTGCTTTGGTGTGCTGGGTGCTGTTTATAAGCTCACGCTTCTGTAATTAGAAGATAAAATATACTGCTTCATTAATTGATACCGTCACCAGGAGGGCCTGACAATTATCAACGACTGCTAACCCACTGGCTTGATCAGACAAGTGTGCAAGGCTCCTAATTGAAGAGTTGCCATTTTCATCACAACAAGGGCTTAGAGCATGATGGTATCTCCTCATACATTCGGAGATGTTCCGTAAATAATGAATAACTCCCCTCTGATAGTACACAAATAATGAGCAGAACCTGACTACCAAGTTTAACTATCAAGTCTGGGGGGTTGCCGAATATCGAATTTCACTGCGGTGTTGTAACAAGCGATCATTAAAAGGCAGTGTCGATCCAGTCAGAGGAACATTTTGTGATAAAGACGAGACCCCGTCCACCATGTTTACATTTTGGAAAACAAAACCACCTATGTCTGGCCATCCTAAACATTCTGTCCCCCACCAAAACGGGGGGGAAATGGTCATCTTGGTTTCTAAGACTGATTGCCATTATCAGTTATGTGCACACTAGAAACCCAGGTAGCCTCCATCTCCCCTTGCCCCCAGCACCTAAGTCCTCGGGCTCAACTTCCTCTCCATGTGTCCAGATGGACACCAGTAGCCCTTGGACACTTAAAAGTGAGGCATGCTGCCTGGGAGAGGTGTCGTTCCCCAAGTGACATTCTGAAGCCGGATTCACTGCAGTTCATCAATTTCCCTCAGTGTCTCAAGACACAGCCAGACCAAGTCACAGGTGTGGTCCATTACTCCCAGCGTCACAAAATAAACCATGAGGTCCCGGTAAACACAACCACCCATCAGCTAAGGAAAAGTGATAGGAACCATTCATTGACAGGTGATTGTGCGCTCCGAGGGATAGTGTTCTTAATCATGTGATTCATTTTCTGTTTGCTCAACAACACGGTGTGTGTTTTTCCTGAGAGGAAGGACTTCAATATATATTTACTCAAAGCTCTTAATTTATACTTCCTTTCCTTTTAATTGGCGTCTTGTGATCTAAAACTGACTGGTGAGCATAGTTACCTCACTATCAGAGCAAACTCTCGGCTGAGTTTGCCATAATTAGACCCACCGTCGCCTGAAGTTGAGCAGACATCTGGAGACCTGACTTATTTCTTCCCTGGTGCATTCTATCCATATTTAGAGAGTGATTTTTTAATTTGACGTAGAGTCATATTAATTATCGCTCCCTGAGCTGGAGTTAGGTTAATAATTTCATGTTAAAAGGGGAAGTTCAAACAGTCTCGCCCGTAACCTTCCGGATGACAAAGCCTAAGCGAAAAGGAACTCCGTGAAACCGGAGACGGTCAGCACACTCTAGCTCACCAGTAAGCCAGATATCACTCACAAGAGAAACGAAAGGTCTCATGTCCTCTAAAATCCCACGTTTGCTATAGGCTGTCTTCCTTGCGTCCTTTCGTTTATGCGGGTAACTAGATACAGGTACAATTCGGGTGAAATTAGCTTTCCTGGATGAATGAAGAAAACTGAATGCCGCCCCCCCCAAAATGCCCAAAGCCAGATTTTATCTGCCATTCCTTCTTTCCTTCTCTCTCTCTCCCCCAAAACGGCAAGGGGTGAAAACGATCCAGATGTTGCAAATCCGCCCTCACCTTGACAACGCTAAAATTACGAGCAGCAGTCAACTTTCACCAGATACCCTGATTGTGCAACGTTTCTACGCTGCCAGAAAACGTGCTAAAACGAATCAGATAACAAAGGTGAAGAGAAAACCTTCACCTGCCACGTAGCTAGCGGTGAATACACTTTTTATTTCCATGACATTTGCTGGCAGAGAGGGGTTGGCTTAAGGCGGATCGGACTGACCTTCAATTTGTCATAGCGCTCACTCAAAGCTGCCACCTGATGGTCGCGGTGCCGCCCAACCAGTTTACACAAGGCACAGATTAACTGGTCATCGGTCACACAGTACATATTCACCTTCTCATCCTCGTGTTCCAGGCACATCAGCCCCCGGATGTGCGAGTCCGGAACTGGCTCAATCAGACGATGGCCTGTAAAGGGCTTCTTGTTTGGGTGAGTGGCTTTCAGGCACTCATCGCAGTAGGACACTTCACAAGTGACACAGGTCTTCACAGCGTCCTGGGCAGGATCCTGGTCACAGAACTGGCAGAGGACTTTCTCGGCCGAGGTCATGGTGTTGGCGTCGAACGCCCGCTCCCGGCGGGTCTCACTAGGCGAGTTGGGCCCGCTCACAGACGCTTTCTGGAACCTGTCGATGATGTTCTGCAGGGTGACGTTGCGCTTGAGTCCGTCTAGACCTCGCTGGCTGAGCGTGATAACATGTCGGCAGGTGGGGCACTGGAAGGCGGTGATGGACTCCACGGACTCGTTGGTGGCGCAGTGTGACACCAGGATGCGGTGGGCGCAGTTGAAGCAGAGGCTGTGAGCGCAGGGCAGCAGGAGAGGGTCCTCAAAGAGCTCCAGACAAATAGGGCAGGTCAGCTCCGATTCCAGTGTTTCCATCTTCAGGCAAAGCTCTCCTGGGTCATCAGCAAAATCCAAGGACGCTGATCAGCTATCTGGAAACAGAACGCAAGATCTGATTAGGCGCAAGGAGGTCAGCTATGGGGGGCTGTCAGCTTTGAACGCGTCTCAAAATAATTCCAAACGCGGGTCATGGAAGGGTAAAATGTGTGTGCATTCCAAATAAATCTCTCTCTGTGCACACGGGGGGGATCAGGAGGGGAGAAACACCCTGCGCCAGCACGCCAACTAACATTTGCTCCAAGTTCCCGTCCCTGAAAGCTGCAATTTTGTTGTTGTTGTCTTTGCAACTGTGCGGGTTAAAAGGTTTTCCTCCAAACTGGCAAGTTACTGAAATGGTAATTTCCATAATTTGTATCTAATCACAATAACCTTAGTGGGTCCCGGCCAACTTTTACCTTGTGTTGAGAATTAAAATGTTGACATGTTAATTAAGGAGCCAGAGTCTTTCAGGACTCTGAATCGATGAACTTACACGTGAATGTGTAGGTGTCTGCGGGATTTTTCGCTCTACGATACCAAAGCGGGGTTCAGAGAAGTAGAAAGGCACTTCTCGTGGAAATGGGCATGAAACGTGCATGAAATCAAACGCACGGCCCCGCCGGAAACGATAATGCTTAAATACGGGATGTCAGCTTCCAAAACAGATTCCCGAGGAAAAACACGGACTTTCGCAGAGGTGATTGTGATAGAGGCAATTTTTCTGGCATATGTGCGTTACTCTCCTGAGTAATTCTATTGTTTCATCCCGCGGCGTGATGTGGGTGGGCAGAGAGAAGCGGGGAAAAACATCTGCGGGTCTTTTCGGTGGCCGTGGTGAGCCTGGGTACCCATGACTCAGAACGATTTAGTCAATCAGAACAAGGATTCTCGGGGCTTCGATCGGCATCCGGTAAGTTTTTAACAACGGTAACGACTGCAAGTCAGTCGCGTCACTGCGAGGGGACCCCACGCAGCCCTCCCGGCCAAAAAACTCCCATCAAGGGCCCGTCTCTGTCGCCAGCGACAGGCTGGGCTGGCAGGGGATCCAGCCTCACACCCAGAGCCGCGTTGGCCCCGGCACGGCCTCCGCCAGCTTTGCTGCTCCCCCGCCAAGCTGCCTTCGGGTGGCTCGGCTGCGCGCTCCCCTCACCCCGAAGACCGGCTGCTTTTGTGAACTCTTGCCTGCCTTCCCTTCAAAAAGGGCAGGGGAAAGAATCCCACATAAGCGCCGGTTCATTAACGGGGAAGAGGCCTCGCGCTCATTAGCAGGCCTGGGAACCAAGCCTCTTTGAACCCTCTCCCTTTCAAGACCATTAGCAGAGGTCTGCGGAGCAGCGCCGGGCATATTAGATGCAGCCCACTGCGGGCTGTGGGAGAATAGCGCGGCTCAGGGGACGCCAGGTTCAAATCACCCTGGGGGAGGAGGGATGGGGGGGGTTCTGGGCCGGCTTTATGGGAAGGCTTCACATCCACAGCTGGGTTTAGCGATTCTGACAATCGGCCCTTTTGTGGTCACACCTCCATTTATTTACAAAATTCTAGATTTCTCGACCACGCTGCCCCTTTTCTGAAACAGCAGCCCTCGGAAGTACCACGTGGTGCTCTGGTTGAGCTTAAGGCTCATGCTGCCAACACCCTGAATGGGAAGCGATCATTAAAAGCGTCAAGGATGCACTGAGTGTGTCAAAAATCAAAGAACGGCTGGGTTCAGAGGAGCCCAGTATCTTTAAAAGATCTTCAGCCATTCGCCAATATGAACTACATGAGAAAGACGAAGCGGGCAGCTGAGATTTGAAATATCAAAAGCTTGCTCGTGTTGCCACGGCCTGCAGTGGAGATCCCGGGGCTGCCGTTGTGAGAAACCTGCCATCTCCGCTCGGTCCCGGCCACCTCTTCTGGCGGACGGCTTGGAAGAAATTGAAAGGGTTTCCCTATTAATCATTATTTTGGTTGATCACGGAAAAATAGAATTATCTCTAAATCGAACTTCTCTCTTCCCACCAGAAGAACGTACATTAAAGGGAAAACGTAGCCCTTCTGGTCGGCTTTGCTCGCAGGTGAAACGAGAACACCTACTGATGGATCTCAACAGAGGGATGAGCCCCAATTCTGTCTGGAGAGCTCTGATGAGTGTAACTTTTAAAGAATGTCTATTTACTTATTTTGAGAGAGAGAGAGAGAGAGAGAGAGAGAGAGAGAGAGTGGGTGAGAGGCAGAGGCAGAGGGAGAGAGAGACTCCTGAGCAGGCTCCGTGCTGTCGGTGCAGATCCTGTCACGGGGCTCGCTCCCATGAACCTCGAGATCATGACCTGAGCCGAAACCAAGAGTCGGATGCTTAACGGACTGAGCCACCCAGGCGCCCCGTCCTGACTGTATTTTTACGTAGGTGTGAGGATTCCATCCCACGGTGGTGCGATCAGAATTTCTAGAGGTGATTCCACTGTGCACCCTGGTAGAAATGCTGACATTTTAGTCCAGGACATGAAGTGTGTTGGCTCGAGCAGCCGGCATCTGGTGCCCCCGCTATCCCAGCTCTATGATCGTGGGCCAGCCAACATCGCGCCTTACCTGGATTATGAGAATACCTTTCCAAAGGGCCCCCTGGCTTCTGCTCACTCATGCCACCTACCGCTCCCCAGAGATCCTGTGAAAACATGACTGAGCCTGCCTCTTCTCTGCTCTCCCTTCCAGGGACTTCCCATCTCACTCGGAGAGAAACGCACCAGAATAACGCCCCAGAGAACACAGACTCAGACGGTGACCTCATTTCCTCCCACATTACTCCTTGTTCGGCTCTGGGCACATGGCCTCTTTGCGGATTCCTCAAACATGCCAAGCACATCCCATCTGCACCCTTGCCAGGTCTTTGGAATCCTCAGGACCCTCTGGTTCAGGGTCACCTTCTTTGTGAGCCCGCATAAAACCAACACCCCTGCTACCACCACGACCACCTGCCCGTCCATCACGGCAATCCTTCTCCCCGGACCTTGGTTGGTCTCTCTCCACACAGGTAGGACTCAAACATCCGTCGAAGGAGTTGATGAACATCCAGGTGTTGGGGTTAAAACACCTCAAAGAATGTAACATAACCACCGCCCGAAGGATCGCTCAACACACGAGAACAGAGGCCAGCGAACTTTTTTTTTTTCTATATAGGGCAAGACAGGAAATACTTTCGGCGTCGCGGGCCAGGCAGAATCTGTCGCAGCCGCTCAAGTCCACTGCCGTAGCACGCAAAAGCGGTCACACGCCAGACTCGAGGGAGAGAGTGTGGCTGGCCAATAACATCGGATTTACAAAAAACAGGTAGCAAGCGGGATTGGGCCTGAGGACCTCATTTTGCTCACCCATGTGGTCGAAGAGAGACACGCAAACAGCTGGACAAAATGCCAATGAGAATCTCTCCCAAAGAGATATGAATAAAGTGCCACGCGGGCGACACCGGCAACGGCGGTAGAGTAAGACTCTGACAAGTGGGCACAAGTTTCGAATGCTAACGAGAAACGATATGCAATGGGATTTCACCCTGACATCAATGGAAATAATGTGAGTCGAGCGCTTAGGGGCACTTCGTGTAAGAATGATTTAATAGCAGCTGCTCAGAACAGGATTTTTTTCTTTTATTGCCTCAGTGCTTGGCGTGGCAAGCACTTTGTGCAACTGTCTGCGCTGTAAATGTTGGTTTCATTGTGTTAAGTCATGACTGCATATCTGGGTACACAGAGAGGTTCAGCCAGTTTTCTGGATCTTTCGTCCATATGCTGCCAAAAAGGAAGGGGCTACGGGTTCGCTATCTACAGTGGATCTGACTTTTTCTCCTTTTATGCAGATCATGTTTTGCTATATTGCTCGACAACATGTTACTGGTAAGCGTGCGTGCCATTCCCCCACCTAAAAAAGATAATCCGCATCGTTTGTTTTCTAGCTTCCTTTGAAATCCCCTTTTTGAGAAATGAAAATACCATTCATTCTTTCGCCAAACAGCGAAGCCCCTCTAGGTTCTCGGACCTGGGACAATAATGGCAATACTTGGCCCCTGCTCGTCGATCTTATGGGGAGAGGAAATATGAACAAATTGCTATGCAATGTAACATATGCAACATTACCAAAAGACAAGTGCCAAAGGCTAGGGGGAGAAAAGATGGGAAAGCTTCCCGGAGGAGGCAACATGTGAGAAAGATTTTTGAAGATGAACAGGGGTTCACCAAACAGGTGGGGGGGAGTGTGAAAATGTTATTTTTTTTCTTTTCTTAAGTTCCATAATTCAATTTCTAGGCTTGAGAGAGAGAGAGAGAGAGAGAGAGAGAGAGATTCTTAGCCTGCACTACAATGGAAGGAAATCACATGTGCATATCATTGTCAGGAAATTCTATAGCTCAACATTTTTCTTAATGGGCTGAGTGGTCCTCATTCACAGGAGGATGTGGGCAATCCTGGGAACCCCTTGCAACAAACTGGAGTGGCAACAATTTACAGCTCACACCTCTGCCTGTCCACGGTTTGTAGTGTAGAACAAGGCATGGAATAGAGAGAAAGGAGAGAGCCGGATGGGCGGCCAGACAGTCTGGGGTGACGCGCAGCTCGGCTATCTACTAGCTGCGTGGCCCTGGGAGTGTGTCCACAGATGTTCCCTCCAGTTCCCTCCAGCCCTCACTCGGAACAATCCCTAAGCAGGACAGGGGCCGGTGCAAGACAGGTTTTGGAGAAACTTTCTTACAAATCCAAGACTTCCGAGGAAAACACTGGTTTACCATGGAAAATTAATAAATGGGTATTGTGGTTGAAGTGACAATGTGCACGTCCCACCCTCTCTCATTCTACGTGCCACCAAAACTACTCTTCTGGTTTTCCTCTAACCACTGCCGACTTCTCCTTCCAGCGAATCAAAGCCTGGGTGTTTTCTAAGGATCTGGCCTTCCATCCAAAAGTCATCAAAGAGGGTCAAGAGGTACAGACTTCCAGATGTAAAAGAAGTCGTCGGGATGTAACGTACAGCACGGTGACTCTAGCTAATAATAACGGTATCGCGTATTTGGAAGTTGCTAAGAGAGTACATCTTAAAAGTTTTCATCACAAGAAAAAAAGTTGTAACTGTGTGGTGACGGATGTTAACTAGACTTAGCGTGATGATCACTTCACAGTGGATACAAATGTGGAGCCGTGTCGCATGCCTGAAATGAATACAACGTTCTATGTCAATTACACCTCAATTGTTTAAAAAGCCATCCAGGCTGTTCATTCATTTCTCGTACAGCCTCTCTGAGAGCGACTCCCGGGCTTGTCCCTCGCAACGCCAGCTTTCTCCAGAAGCCCAGCTCAGCACTGACGGTTCTCTGCTTCATTTACTGTAAATGCCCACCTTCAGAGTGCACCCCTCCTAGGTTTCGTCAGCCTCGCTCCCAAATCTGTCTGCCCTGCAAACCTCCTGGTGCTTCCATCGTCCCGATCACTACAAATCAGAAACTCGCCACACATTCGATCCCCCCTCTCTCTGGGGGAGGCAGAATACGTGGGCTCCAAAGACGGCCACATCCTAATCCCCGGAACCTGTATGTCAGGTTACAAGGCAAAGGGGAACGCAGGTTGCAGATGAAATCGAGCTTGCCACTGCTGAGCTGAATATGGGGGGCTCAGCCTGCATTATCCAGGTGGACTCGATGCAATCACCAGGGCCCTTCAATGTGGAAATGACCGGAGAAGAGCCGGTCGATAAGACGCAGAAAAGACTCGATGGCCCTCGCTTTGAAGATGGAAGGGCCACGAGTCAGGGAATGTGAGCCATTTCCAAAAGCTGCAAAAGGCAAACAGACTCTTCCCTCGTCCTCCCGGAGGGACACAGGCCTGCAGACACCTGGACCTCCAGCGCTGTTGAAGCCATCACGTTGGTTGTCATTTGTTACAGCCTCAGTAAGAAGCCACACGCTCTTTCCCCCAAATCCAAATCGCTAGCCAAGGCATGTCCGACTCAGTCCCTAGTTCTCTGATCGGTTTCTCTCTCTCTGCTCTCACTGCCTTCCGGGTTGATCCACATCGTCTCTCCTGCATTCCTAGACTATGACCCACCCTCCCCACCCCCACAAACACACAAAAACAAAACACAAACAACCACCTCCTAACATGATTTCTTCCCTCCAATCTTTTGTCCCTCAGTTTCATCTCGGCCACATGCTTCTGGCACCAACAGCTTCTTCCTGTCGCTTCCCTTAAAGGCTCAAACACAGAGCAGCGCCCAGCTGCCCAAAGCACGAGTCCTGACGGACGCCTTATCTCCTGTCTCACAGCCATGACCAAGGTCCCAAGCTGCTCCTTCAGCCTGATTCCCACGCGCTCACCTCCCATCCCAGGAACTGGCACTATCTGCTGCTCTTAGCAACTGCCTTTGCTTCTCTTCCTAGCACAGATCACTTTTTCCTTTGGGAGATTGCTTTGTGTTTCATGTTTATTTTCTTGTTGTTGTTTTCTGGTTTTTTAAGATGATGGACAGCAGGACCCCGTAGAGACCTCAAGAACCCTGGCCACTGTTGTTTTGGAGATTTCATATTCAACAAAGAAGGATTGTCTTACAAGATGGCTATACATAGCGTGATGGGTCTTAAATGTTTACAATTAACAAAGTAAAGCTTTTAGGTGAAAACCACAAAGCCAGCGGTCACTATCATATTTACAAAGGAACCAAAATATTCATTTGAAGATCTTAATTCCTACTCCTGAAATCATTATTGCATTATATACGCAAACTCATTTGTATGTAAATTAAAACAAATAAATTTAAAAAATAAATAAAGTTACAGGATTCCTCCCATTCTTTCAGTACAGTCGGATCAGCTCTGGGACCGACGGGGCGTGCATATGCGCGCGCACAGACACACACACACGCACACACACACAAATCTCACACGGAGATAACACTCCTCGTCTACATTTGAGGCCAATAACGAACAGGTGGCCTGAGCCAAATGCCCACCTACTCCTCGAAATCCCCATTGCTAACCCTGGATGTCAGGAGGCTCACGCCTTGTGGGCTGAAGGAAAATTAATCAACAGAGAGATGGACAGCTGGCAGCGAGGGCTGCGGGGATGATCGAACCTTGGCACCAGGTGATGGCTAAGGTGGTCTGGCTGAACCAGCTGCCTGGGCAGGTAGAACTCACCCCAGGAAGAGGACTTCCCTGGAGGGAAAAGGGCTTTCTTTGGTCCAAGGTGAGGGATCTGGGTGGGGGGAAGCAGACTGGAGAAGGTCCCCAGTAGAAGAGAACGGACAGCAGGACTTAGTTCAGGTTCAAGGTTGGGGGCTGAGAAGGGAAATGGGGGACTCAGGGCGGGCGCCCTAAAAGATTACTGTTACAGGCCAGCGAGATGGAAGATCTGTTCCGCCTCCTCCTTTAAAGTGAGGGAGAGGCAGAGCTCTCGTCCGGGCAAGCCAACGCAAAAACAACATTTAACCTTGCCTGCCTGTGCAGTCACAAGCCTCGCCATCATCCCGCTCGCTTGCTCATGTTAGAATTTCACAACCGTATTCCTTGTCGTCTCCCCCAACTCCTGGTAGGGCACAGAGAAGGTCACCTACAGCCCAAAGGAACACCCAGTACCCCTGTGAAGACGACACGCATTGCACGGCTTCATCCGTGGCCAAAGCCAGTGAGCGGGCTTCCCAGTCCGAAATCCCCAGAGTATGGAAGGTTCACCCAGGGACTCAAGAAGTGAATAAGGAGATATTTGATTGCCGGCACGTCAACCATGAGTTCTTTAATTCCAAATTTCTCTTAACGGAGTTTTGAGATTTTAATCATAAGGCAAACCCATCTCTCAGTGCTTCCCTACAGGCATTCCCTGCCATGCCTGCAAACTCCATGAACAATAATCATTTTTCTAATTATGAAATAGAGCATGCATTCCGGCCACCAGAAATTTTACTTTCAGTCTCACTTTGTACAGCTCCGAAGGCCATCACTCGGAGGGAAATTCATGAGTCACTAGACCAAGGGATAAACTTGGATACCAACCCCGGGTGGCCTGTGGTCAACTGTTACTACCAGGTGGCTCTCAGCCACTGCCCAGACGATTCCCAAGGCACTTCCTCTGATTTTTTTTCCCCCCTAAATATCCTCTGGGGTGTGGAACCTAAGCGTGATGCTAAATTTACCAAAACATGACTGAGCTGACATACACACCACCTGAACTGTACAAATATTATGCCAATTCACACACAAAAAAATGGTTTAAGGGGGGGAAACCCCTTGAAAGTGTTGTGAATAACAGCATCCTGGATCCTATGAATAAATTTCCTTTAAAGCACCCTCCATTTTGGAACCATGATCAAGTCAATTTCCTATCCCCTCTTCACAGGGGTCATGAAGATTCAGTGGACTTCTTGCCATTTGGATTTTTGCTATGACTTCATCCCTGTTCTAGAACCACAGGTGAAATTTTTTTTTTTTTTTTTTTTAAGAACCATGGAATGCTGTTTTTATCTTGGATCACAAGAAACATGGACTTTCAGAGGACTCAAAACTTTGGAACTGGGAAACTTTGGAAATTAACCTGGGTAAATAGAAACTGGATGCTATATTCAAGGTGAATCCTCCACAAATAGACTGTTTTCAATAACACGATACAAGCACCCGATGTCTGCACATTCAGCCGTAGTTTCGGATTTAGCTCTGAGTTATCAAAACTACAGAACAAACACCCCACCCGAACGCTCCTTCGCTGATTAGCACCCTGGCTGATTGGAGACACGGGGGGCAAGTCAGTAAATGTGCAATAAAACTGGGGCAAGAAGCTATGCACAGGGGAGGGTGAGATCCGATTGAATTTAACAGCATTCTGAAAGACTGGAAATGGATATGACAACAGAGGCAGAGAGCAGTCAAAATGCAGAGTGGCTCTTAAAGCAACAGTACAAATAACACACGAGCAGGTCCTATAACATTCTAGAAGTAATGCCTCTGAAATATCACTGTGGTTAACCTCCGACTGTCAGCACCCTCAAATTCGTTCACTTTATCAGCGACAGACGACTAAGGATTTCTGCCAACCGAATTTTAAGGGACCAGAGGGACGGACTGGAAAAAAAAATGACATGCAGATAAACGCTGAGGCCCCCAGTCTCCAGTTTTAAGCAACTCATTAATATGACAGATATTTTTAATAACTTGCCACTTCATCTTTATTTATTCCGAGGGGTGCTTAAGTTAAAATGTTTGACCTGACACGGAAAGTGAGAAACAGGGAAGACTTTGAATTTCACCAAATACCCACCTGGTGGAATTCATGCAAATTGAATTAAACTGTTCACAAAACCTTTCTCTATACTTCCACATCTGTCCAGAGTGTGCTCGGTTTTTAGTAATTGGATCTCTTGGATATTCTTTAAAATAATCACATACTCTCTTGACCATGCAGCCTGATTAATAATGAATGAACATTCCTGAAAAGAATCATTTGGAAGCTTAGCAGATGCCTTTGGGGACATGAAGGCTTTAATGATAAAAATTAAGGAGAAACGGGAGCTAGGTCACACTGTCTGGTTATTTTAATTGAAACCTAGTCTTCCAAATTTACTTAACAGAATGCTTAAATACACCTTCTGGAGTTCATTTACACAAGCAGACAAGAAAAAAGACACCAATGACAATGCAAGAAAAAAAGCAATCCTGATTTCTCAAGGACCAACCGCCCGATCCGCTCTATCTGAAGAGTAAAGAACACCCCCACGACCGTCTCAGAAATGCAACTTGTTCTACTGAAAAGACTGCTAAATAGGTTAAAAACAGGAAATAGCACATTTGTTCTTAAGAGTTCTTTTAGCATCGCTCCAGATTCTTACAAACAGATCACCTCGAATACCCACCAATGGACTGCACCCTAGTTCTTGTTGAAGAAACATCGCCGTAGGCAGAGGACGGGGACCCACGAAATGACAGACAGGCCACCGAGACCAGATGGCGGGTGGCAGGCAGTGCCGGAGCAGTCCTGTGTGTCTGGGAGAGCGTCAACAGTGAAACACAACAGGAAAATCGACGCGACAATTCCAGGAAGGCCAGCTCCACCTGGTCCACCCCGCCAGGGCTGCCGGAGTTGAAGAATCAAAACTCCCAGCTTCCAGCTGCCTTCTGCACAGACCCCGCCGTGGCGTCCCTGTGCCCTCGCCCACGCCACGTTCAACTCGAGCCAAATGCAAAGGCGGCTCGGGGCAGATTAACACCCACTGCCTCGTCCCCGAAAAAACGACGACTTGGCACTGTGATCTGTACCCTCATGGCTCACGGGGACCAGCGGCGGGTCAGTGTCCTGCGGCGGAGTGCTCGATGCCAGCTTTTGCAGGCTGCCAGCAGGAGCGCCCGGTCCAGCTCCCGGGGTCGGCAATGGGCGCTTGCCTCCTTCGCATTTTGGTCCTCTTAGCAGCCAAAAGGCACATGATCACATTATGCTCTGGATGCTGGGGGGGTGTTGTTGTTTTTTTATAATATACTTCTTAGTTTGTGTCTATCTTCTGAATTAAAATATAATAGCGGGGAGAAGTGTTTTATTTTTTTAATGTTTTTTAAAATGTATTTTTGAGAGAGAGACACACACACACACACACACAGAGCATGAGTGGGGGAGGGGCAGAGAGAGAGAGAGAGAGGGAGACCCAGAATCCGAAGCAGGCTCCAGGCTCTGAGCCATCAGCACAGAGCCCGATGCGGGGGCTTGAACTCATGAACCGCGGGATTGTGACCTGACCGACGCTTAACCGACGGAGCCACCCAGGTGCCCCAGAAGAAGTGTTTGAAAACATTATATCCAGAAGAACAACCTTTCGTACAGACGCAATAAAGCAGTTATTGTTTTCTTCCCAAAATAGAGATCTAAATTGCAATCCATCAGCCTGATAAACAACTGAAAAGATAGGTGGATGAAATATATATACATGTATATACACACATAAGCAAGCAAAACATACACACCCATACATATATATCACACATGCATACAACATATTGTATGTACATGTTAATATATACATATAATGCATACACACGCGCGCGCGTGCGCGCGCGCACACACACACACACACACACACAGCAAATCTGTGATAGGTGTCCCAAATTTCAGTCTCCAGAATGGCAAAGAAAGAGTGAACTGAGAGTGGAAAGTAATCTTTTAAAAACTGATTGTCTAAAGGAAGAGGAAGTAGTCTTCTCAAAAGCAAAAAAACAAAAAATTGTCCTGCTCTGCAGTTCTTTCAAGGATGTAGCTTATCACCATGCAAGACAAGAACATGCAACTCAAGTAAATCATCAGGAAAGTGTAAAAAAAAAAAAAAAACCAAACAGAACCCACACTGATTGCAAGCCTGCACGATTCACATGAAAAATCAGACATCTGGCCTCCACCACAGGTGTTTGAGAACATTCCTGATAAAGGGCAAGCAGGAGGCGCCTACTCCTCACAGTAAACCAAAGCGTGCTTCGCATGTTTGGACATAAAAATGCAAACCACATAGTTTCTTGGCTTATGTCTGTATAAGTCATCATTTCATTTGTTAACAATAAACAAAGGGATTACTCAATTTCACATACAGAGGACTTCCCAAGGAAGACCTCGCTGTCCACAGGAGAGGCGCGTGTCCATCATCAAACAGAATTTGAAAGAACTTTCCATCATGAGACTGGAAAGCACTCCTCTTGTTAAAACAACACTAAAGGGGTCAAAATTTCTACGAGACGCGCCTAACTTGCCCGTGGTTTGGCGCCGTGGTGGAAAATTCGCCTGACCGTCTGAGTCGGAACATCAGGAAACAAACATGTACTCCACCCCTCAAAAACAAAAGAAAAGGATAAACAACAACAACTTTTACAATCTTCTACAGAGCGGAATCTGACAGGCTCTACAGGAGATCTCCCACCATCAGAGGGTCTCAGGCATTTCAGGTCTTTTACAGTTTATGTGAAGAAAGAAAACGTCTAGTGTTAAAGGCAAATGGAACTTATTTTGCATTCGATCGAAAATGACGGCCGTTTTCCCTGTCTGCACTCTACCGGGTCCCAGGCAAGAATCTGGTGCTGAAGGCAGAGGGAGCGGACGAGAAAGAGAAGGAAGAAAGCGAATACTCGTCACACCTAGTCTCCTGACCCGGGGGGGGGGGGGGGAGGTCTAAACGGCCTCTCCTGGAGAGCGGCGAACCAACAGTGTGGTGGTAGCAGAAATGGGCGCCCCCGTGGACACTTCTGCCTAGTGTTTCCAGTTCGACAGGCATTTCTCCACCCATTCGTGCGACTATTTATTCTCTGTCTATAGAAAACCCTATATATGTCTACAGTGGAACTGATTTTTGTAGCCATATATAAATATGCACGTGTATATGCGTACACACCCACATATATAAGCGCCTTTGCAAAATGACTTGGGACTTGATAGAATGCACCCTTCACAAATCCCTCAGTGACAACATCCGTCCTGCATCCGAGAACCATTCCTTCCTCTGTGCAAAAACGGAGACCTGTGCATAATTTATACGCTACATTTCTTTTAAATGCCTACTTGTATCTGAAAAGGGTTACCTAGAACATGGCAAAATGACCTAGGAGGTCTGGTCTGTGAAGGACGGACCAGTTGAGCTGGATTGTTGCAGCAGGTAGATTCCATCTGGTAAAACGCTTGCCACTTGGGCAAACCCTGTCTTACTTCATTCCTACGATGCTCCTCTAGAAGGTGGAGAAAGTACCCCCTCTCCCTTCCCACTTACCCACTGGGAGAAAAATGCATCAATAAACAGTTCCTGACAATGGCCAGTGTGGCCTCTCACCATTGTTCTCTGACCACCGAAAAGCTGAAGTTCAATGGCACGCACAACTACTCCCGTCCCATGACTCACCGAGGTAATGACAATGTCATATAGTAACTGATTCCTATTGTATGGGCAGATTGGGAAATTCTCTCAAACATGATAGCTCCTCCCCTCAAAGGAAATTGCCTTCTCTCTCAACTTCAAAGTTAGCCATACACAAAGACCTCATGTTCACAAGGCCCCGAAGCTACTTTGCGATCTTAAAAAATAAAGTAACCTTTTTTCACAACTCCTGGTTAACTATTATGAAAAGAACAGGCTTTAAACGGTTCCCCATGATCACTGAAGCCCTACAGTCAGGGAATAAAGTCTTTTTTTTTTTTTTTTTTTTTTTTTTAGGCAACAGAACGAGGAGTGACTCTTTTGTTCTGAATTGTTATTGTAAAGCGCCACATGAGAGAGGAGGAACGATGGGAACACGGCAATGAAAAGAACAGCGCTGACGAACGAAAACAGGATATTAAGAACAGCGTCGGAAATGTGCGTCCTCACAGAACAAAGGCAGGTGGCTTCTTGGGAGAATCTGAGCAAAAATACTTTGAAAAGATTTAAATGCTAATGGACAGAACAGTTTTCCAGGCAGCAAGAAATCTTTAAGTCTGGGGCAGTAAAACTAGTTTATCATTTACACACACACACACACACACACACACACACACAGTATCATGAAATTAAAACTGCTTTCAAATCACATTAAATTACCCACTTTTTAAACCCACGATCCACTTCTTGAAATTTCTAGATCTGTTTCTGCCCATATAAAATAAGATACTTTTGGGTGCCTGGGTGGCTCAGTCAGTTAAGCGTCCGACTTTGGTTCATAAGGTCATGATCTCACGGTTTGTGAGTTCAAGTCCCGCATCGGACTCTGTGCTGCCAGCTCAGAGCCTGGGGCCTGTTTCGGATTCTGTGTCTCCCTCTCTCTCTCTGCCCCTCTCCTGCTCACTCTCTGTCTCAAAAATAAATATTTTTTTAAAAGATACTTTTTTTTTCATTAAATAACTTAGGTAACTTAGTGTACATTCGTAAAGAAATGGAATTTCTTACACTAAGGGCTCTCTCCACTCGGAGCATAGTCTTACACTTTTTTTTTTCTAACTTACACTTCAAATATAACCTTTAAGGAGCGTTTTCAAGAACTCCCCGGGGGGGAAGCTACGGAATGAGTTCTTCACTGAGAAACAATCACCGTGACTCAGTAGCCAACATGAATGTCACAGATGGGTCTGGTCAAGTCATGTTCTCATAGCACCTTCTACTTTTCTTCCGATTCAAATTCCGCTAACGCTGCTAACGGGACAACGCATTTAGTGAGAGCATCAGAGTCCGTACGGTCTATTGGACTTTACCACATAATGAGAATGACAATGACCATTATTGCAGTCTCTAAGCTAAAGGGTTCAGAGAAGTAGAACTATATCCTGTCTTGCAATGCTTCCAAACCGACCGTCTGTTTCCTCTTCTCTCTGTTCCACGCCTTTCGTCTTTCTCCATCCTCTCCTTCTATTGCAAGAGGAAGGAAAAACAAATAGGCTTTCCTCTTCCAGACAATGCATTTCATCTGGGTTTCTCTTTGATGTGTTGGCAGAAAAGCTGGGGTTAAGCCTTGACTGAGCTCAGCTGGCGCAACTACCCCTGGTCCGGTTTGAGGGTGAGATCACCAGCATGGTGTCGTTCAAAGAAACGTGTACCTTGGAACCAGATAAACCTGAGTTCAAACCCTGGCTTCTGCCCTTTCCTAACAAAGGCAGATAGAAGCCGGCTGCCCAACCTATCTTTACTCACAGACCCTCTTCCTATCTTGTACGGTTTCCTTATCCGTAAAATGCGACAATGAGAACAATCTTGAAGGGTTTGTGGAGAATTAAGTGAGGCCAAGTTGTAAAAGTGCTAGCAAAATTGTACCTCCCACGCCCTTCTTCCCCTCTGGTCCGGAATCACCTCTTCCCACTCTTCTTTGAGTACATTTACGATCTGTATGTTTTATTGCAAACTTCTTCAAACCACTTCTGGAAACGGGAAGGATACCAACCCATGTCCTTGTTCAATAACATTCACGGAACGTCTTATATTAAGAAATAGTATCTAACAAATAAACCGGC